GTACCAATCAAGGGATGTTCCCCTGCCATCTGCCATGCCTCAGAAACTGCAAGTATGTATTTAGGATGATGAAGTCCTGTTAGATGTCCTTTGTCTGGGATTCAATGTACCCCTGACAAAAATTGTGGCCAGTGCACAGTCTTACCCATGGCAATTCACTCTGATTGAACATAATTCATATTTCAAGGCTAGTGTTGACATTTTACCTGCAACTGCAAGACAAAATTGCAACTCATTATAAACCACCTTTATTTTTGTATCTTATTTTTTGGGGAAGATTAGTCTTGGATCAAACTAAATAAAAATTCTTTTGAATTTAAATATAACATTTATGCACTTTTCCCTGCTTTTATGGACTTATGACTCATCAAGGTGCCCACTCAAAAAAATTAATAATCAAATAATAAAGGAGGAGAGGATTTAAAAAAAGAGGCGAAACCAGGGTAAGAGAAAGTAGCCGGGTTCAATGACGACAACGACGGCTTCGTTTCCACTACCCTCGGTCATCGTCACCGCGTACGTCAGTGTCGGTGTCGAGAACAGGAAGCGCCTCGATCCCTAAATAGGGCTAATCAATTCCCTCGTCGTCCATGCCTCTCAATTCCCTTTTTTCTTTTCTCTTCGTCGATTCTGCGTCCATTATTCTCTATATACGCATTCCATTCGTTATTTTTTCGTTTCCTTTATTGTTCCGGGGGGATCTCGAATGAAATAAAAATACTGTACATTCACTTTCGATTTTCGAAAGTTCTCCAAATAGGCTTGACTCCCCCATCTTCATCCTTATATAGTTTAAATGAATAAAAAGAAGGGCTTCGACTTTCTTCTCGGATTGTTCTTGTTGCAACACCTACTGCGGACGTGCATCTTTATATACGTGTGGTCATCCTTCATAATACAATTTGTAAATTAAAGATTTCTACATAATTCCATTCGATCTACTTTCAAAACATCATAGCATTGATTCGTTGAAAACTCTATCCATTCAAGCACCACGTGCATTTTTTTCTCCTAAAAATAAACAGGTTAATAGGGGGTTACGTCATGGGTGTGTATATATACAATTCTTTAACATTTAATTGAGTGCCATATTTAGTTGCCTTTAGAAGTTCAGTTACGTGCAATATTATGAACAATTTTGGACCGATATTTCTAACAATTTTGGACCGATATTTCTAACGATTTTGGACCGATATTTCTAACAATTTTGGACCGATATTTCTAACAATTTTAAAATTTGGATACCAAAAAACATAAATTAAATACAGGTGAGAATTATGATTCAGACGTACTGCAAATTTTCAGTCATTGGAAATAGGGTGCGCAACTTACTCAGGAAAAGTTGTTATCCAAATTTCAGACTGAAAAATCCAGATGTAAGTCTTACACAATGGCTTGTGTGGCAAGTGGTACCTCACAATTTGACATCCCGGAATTTGACCATTATGAAATTTGACTGTCAAATTTTCTGGGAGGTTGAATCTCAATTTGACCTCTGCTGCGCAATTTGACCTGTGGAGAGACATGAAACATCAATTGCCATGTAGAAAACATTCTATTTGATATTGTCTCACAAGTTGACTGCTCTGCAATTTTATCCTAGTCCAGTAATGGATTAGGGTTGAATTGTGAGGTGCCACCTGTATACTAATTTATTCAGGGTATAATAAAATACTTATTGATCCAGATAAAAAAACATCACCCAGTGATGATAAAAGACAATTGACAGAAAAACATGGTTTAAAATAAAAGTACAGTTATATACATATACAGTGTAGGGGATCGGACTAAAATAAGCGCAGAGTACTTTGTCTTCGGAATTATTTTTTGGTAATATAAAAATTCTGAAATATTGTAATAGCATATGAAAACTTGAGCGCTATCGATTCCCGTCTCGAAACTCTCGAAAAGGTTCATAGAAAATTCTCCCAAGTCAGAAAACGAAAACAAAATACCGTATTCTGGCCTTAGATGAAACAAGTGAAATTTAGGAGTTTGATGACCCCAAAATTCTTTAAACTAACTCTTTGAACGTGGTTTTTTTTCTCTAGAGTTCCCGAGTAATTAATTCTCTATAAATTAAAAGCAGCACCAACATTAAAAAAAATAAACATCCAGGTTACATTTGCGGGGCTTTTCATAAAAAAAACAATCAACAGGTTCAGAATGCGCCTCGAAATGAAATCCACCGCACTTTTATTCCTTCGACAAGCGGAAAATTTAAAATTCATTTCTCTCAATATAAAGCGAGACAGGAAAAAAACATCGGAGCTTGGCAGGGTTGTACGCTTCGGAAACATTTTTACTGGGATTACAAAGGATTTTTTCCCCCCGAAAAACAGGTCATCGAAAATTTTATGCATACAAAGGTACAGTATATATATATATATATCCCACAGGGAGCATAATTCCAATCACAGGAACGAAGTACTGTATATCCAAAGCACGGAAATATTTTCCAGCTTCGGCGGCAGACAAATGCATGGAAAAAAAATGAGCAGTCTCGATTTATTTCTTGCCAAAAAAAACACACGCACAACGGAGAATATTTTTCAGATTATGCCTCAAGTCTCGAGATTGCTGGGTTATAAAATTTTTTTTTTTCCTCGCACCCAGTATCGTTTTCTGCTCCATCGGATGGGTAATAAACCGAAGCCTTATACTGTATATATACTATACACACCAGTGCGTTGCCCCCTTAATTCTCCCAGCGCCTCACTCCTGCTTCTTGTGCAGCTGTTCTCATGCCTGGAAAAAATAAATAAATTGTACAGTAATGTACACCACAATACAGTGCATGGGTCTTGAAGGAATCGCGTTTTGATTTAAACTTCTGGAATATGTTTTCAGCAAATGTGCGAAAATTTCTATAAGCAGAGGCTCTTCATGAATGATTTGAATGAATGAATGAACAGAACATTTTATTTGCCGCTTTTCAGCCTTCACAAGGTTCAATCAAGATTTCCACAACCAAACCCCCTTCCCACCCAACCCAAATCCACTCAATGACATAAGCACAAATGGATAACAAAGATAAAAGAAAATACTATCACAAGATACAACTGGACATCTGACATGTAGGCATAAACCCATTTTTTTCCTCGCCTGTGATTGGTGGAAAAAATGTGCATTGAAGAAGTCGTGCATTCAGGGAATGGATGCCTGAAGGAAAACGGGACCAGATTTCAGGTCCTGGGACCTGACATCCCTGAATGGGCCCGAGTTTTGGTTCCCCAACATTCATCCATTCCATTCATTTTTGCAAACTCCATATTGCAGATATGCCCATTGCCGTGGCCAGTTTTTTGCACCCAAATAACTCTCCAACTCATCAAGGATGTTTGATTGTATTCCAATTTGTGTTTTCGAAAATCCTTTTTCATTGATGTGCATTATTTTTCAAGACATTTCATTTCATGCAGGAAATTCTTTTTTTCCTCACATATGTACCGTATTTATTCTTAATACGGTACAGTATATATATTTTATTCATATATTTTTCTGTAGTTTTATTTTTTGCAAACCATATATTGCAGATATGCCCAGTGCTGAGGCCAGTTGTTTTTACCCAAATTATTCTTTGACTCATTGAAGAATTTTGACTGTGTTCAAATTTATGTATTGGAAAATCCTTTTTCATGGATGTACATTGGTGTATTTATTTTTTCACAATTTCATCATATTCTTCTATTTTATTAATTTTTGCAAACTATATACTGTATTGCAGATATTCCCATTGCTGAGGCCAGTTGCTTTTACCAAAATAACTCTTTGACGCATTCAAGATGTTTGACTGTGTTCAAATATATGTCTTGGAAAATCCTTTGTCATGGATGTACATTGGTGTAAATTATTTTTTCACAATTTCATTATATCCATCTACGTATTTTATTCATTTTTGCAAACTATATATAGCAAATATGCCTAGTGCTGAGGCCAGGTTTTTTTTTTACAGGAATAACTCTTGAACTCATGAAGATGCTTGATTGTACTGTATTCCAATTTTTTTTTTCAAAAATCCTCTTCATGGATGTGTATTGTTTTTTTTAAGATATATCATTTCATGCAGGAAATTGTTGTTTTATTCATATTCATGTAATTATTTACTTATTCACAATATTTGTACAGTATATATATACCGTATTTACTCAAGTACCACGCGCCTTCAAGCAAGGCAAGCACAGGGTTTTTTCAGTTGGAAATTTGGCTAAAATCATATCCCCGAGTATGACTCGCACCCCAATTTTATGTAAATCTAAAACCACAAAATTTCAAAAATAGAAGCAAAAAGTTTGACTTTAGACATGAATTTAACAAAAATCTGACCAATTTTCAACTTTATCAGTACAAAAAAGTTTTCTTGTCACTTTTTCCCAAATTTCTCCATTATGATTAAGTACAATGCACATAGAACAGAATGAAGAGTCATCATCACCAAAAGCAGGATGGGGAGGGTTAGAGGTTGAAACATTTTTTCAAGAGATCAAATACACTTATTCAATAAATACTGTGGCAACCCCTCCCTCGTTAAACCGCCAACCCCGTTAAACCACCAAAATTCTGCTGCACAAACGTTGGCGGTAAACGTTGGCGTTAAACCGCCAACCCCGTTAAACCACCAAAATTCTGCTGCACAAACATTGGCGGTTTAACGGGGTTTCAGTTTAAACCCCGAGATCACAATCACAGCAAAGATAATCACACAATCAAAATCGACTAAACTTGACTAAACTCGACGATATCTCTTCCAGTACTCTGATCTGGAGCTTCCCAATTATTCCGCCACNTTGGCGGTTTAACGGGGTTTCAGTTTAAACCCCGAGATCACAATCACAGCAAAGATAATCACACAATCAAAATCGACTAAACTTGACTAAACTCGACGATATCTCTTCCAGTACTCTGATCTGGAGCTTCCCAATTATTCCGCCACACACGTGGTACTCGAGTAAATCCGGTACCATATATAATTTGTGCAAACCCCTGTGTATGTATTGCAGATACGCCCAGTGCCGGGGCCAGTGCATGTGGGCCATCCTGTTCCTGCTGTCCAAGTTCGTGGAGCTCGGCGACACGGCCTTCATCGTGCTCCGTCGCCGGCCCGTCACCTTCCTCCACGTCTACCACCACTCCACCGTCCTCGTCTTCACCTACTGGATGGGCTCCATCACCACGTCCGGCCTCCTGCCCCAGTACATGGCCATCAACTACTTCATCCACAGCATCATGTACTCGTACTACGCCTGCATGGCCTACGGGATCCGCGTGCCCAAGCCCATCGCCATCGGCATCACGTGTGCCCAGATTGCTCAAATGTTCTACGGGGTCTACGTCACGGCTGCCTTCTACCAGTACACCAAGGCCACGGGCATGCCGTTGGAGTTGCGAGTGGCGTGTTGCGTGTATGCCTCGTACGCCCTGCTCTTTATCCGGTTCTTTGTCAACGCGTATCTGAGGAACAACGGCAGGCTGACGAGTGCTGCTCTTGGCAATAATAGTAAAAATAATGGTGTCGTTACTATGAACAATAATAATAGTAAGAAGACTGCTGCTGCTGCTGCTGGTGAGGGGAAGACGAATCAGGTCAACGGCACGTGGAAGGTGGCCATTGTGAACGGGAATAAGAAGGCGCAGTAGTCGTGATTCGATTTGAAATTATTACTTTTTTTTTTTCGTCGGTGGGGTGGACGATGATGTAAGAGATATCGATGAGACGAAGAGGTTGTTGTGTGTGTGTGTGTGTGTGAGAGAGAATTCTGAGAAAGAGTGAGTGTATATGTGCCCACCAGAACGAAAAAAAAGAAAAGGAAAAAAAAGGAGAAGATGAAGAGAGGAAAAAAAATATTTGTTTGTTTAGGGAGCCTCCTTCTCTGTCCATTTTCTTGATACTTTATTTGATTATAATTAAGATTACTGTGTATTGAAAACCCTTTCTCAGTAATTGCTTTTATTTTTAGAAATTTTCCTCATGCAAATCAATTCTGAGTTTTTTTCTTTCATTTTTTTGTTTTTGCATGAGGAGAATAATTTCTGCATCTTTTCTACCCTGGGAAGTCTCATGAAGAGTAGGATTTCGCTCTAAGGAAAATCTTAGTGTCTAGCCAATTTCATGTGGAATATATTACAGTACACTGTATCCCAGGAAATTTAGATTGAATATATTTAGTGACTTATGGTGATTAGATAAGTTCTTGAGTTTTCAGTTTGAAAATCAGATTACCATTTTTCAAAAGTTTATTTACTCTTCTTTTTCAATTAGATTTTTTGTTTGTTTCAGAATTATAGAATTTGCATCCCTTCTTTCCATATATGAAGAACTCTAACCCATTACACTGCATTCCCAAATCTAAGTCCTTTGCAACAATTTTTCTTGATAATTTTCAGGCTATTGTTCAATAGTGCTGTTCATTTTTTAATGTGAAAATAATTTGTTTTAAAAGAAGGGTAATTTTTCAATTGATGATATTTTTGCATGTGAAACAAGTGCAGTTGAAAATCAGTGATTGAAACCTCCTTAATTCAAAGTTTCAGTGACACCCTTGTCAATATCCTCAAGACAAATGCATTTGAAACTTTGGTGACTCAAACCTTTCAGGCTATTGGTCAATAGTGCTGTTCATTTTTCAATGTAAAAAGACATTTTTTTTTAAGAAGGGTACTTTTTCAATTGATGATATTTTTGCATGTGAAACAAGTGCAGTTAAAAATCAGTAAGGGAAACCTCCTTAATTCAAAGTTTCAGTGACACCTTTGTCAATATCCTCAAGACAAATGCTTTTGAAACTTTGGTGACTCAAACCATGTTGGTTCTAACCTCCTTTGGACAAATTAGTATGATATTTGTGTTGTTAAACCTGGGCCAAATTTGAGAGCATATAGTTTAGAAATAACTAAGAGAAAAGCTGGAAAAAATTTTTCTGATGTTTTCAACAATGGATGATGCAAAAATATTTATGATAAAAGCCACTTGCAATAATTGAGTAATGATCCTCTTCCTTGATTAACATACCAGCCATCTTTTGGCCATATCTCTATGTTTTTGGATTACTGTACCATCAATTTCAATTCAGAGATGTTCAGGTACGTGTATTTCCATTAATTAAAAACCACTATGATTAATTTTATGGTAAGAATCTATTTTATGAGATAAAATGTTCCTTCCCAAAAGCATTTAATTCTCAGTTGACCCCCATGAAATGTGATGCAATTGTGCAAAATTCATATACTGTATAGGCTTGATTTATGCCATCAATTGCTCAAAAGTGGTTTGAAAATTCAATTTTCTAATTTGACTAAATTCTGGTTAACAAAGCTTTATTCTTTGTTTTATGAGCCTGTGTATTTTTCTGACAGTGATTTTTTTCAAGATAAGTCCTTTTGATGAAGATGAAATCTTTGCAATTATCTCATTGAATTTACAAAAAGGGTATAATTCTGAAAATATTCCATATTATGCTGCTTTTTAGTCAAGTAGTACAGCAAAAAAAAAATGCCAACTTTGGTCAACTGTGAGTAGCTTTATACAAATTTTAAAGCATTTTCTATAAAAAGAGGAGGAGGCTCAACAAATTTTTGCTGGAGTTCTTTGTTAAAAAACACTTGGATCAATCTAATTTCAAGTAGATTCATTACAAGTGTGCCAATTTTTTTCTGTGGCCTCTTGGGAAGAAACGGGGCAACAAACAAAAGAAAAGATCCCGAAGCAAACAAATATGTCTTCTACTCTTTGGTAAGACAATTGCTGATTTTTTTATTGAAAGAATCTGTCAATGATTCATCTTCATCCACTTATTGGGGCTCATCTTATTTACTTTTTATTGCCATTTCGCACGGGTTATTGTTTTCATGTGCGCGTGTTTTTTTTTCTCTCTCTCATAGAATGTTGTGTTGGCAGTATTAGAAAACTGCGCGGTTTGTGAGTTTGTGATGTGTGCAAGAGATTATGTTTGATTTTCCCTCCCCAAGACTCTTTTTCCAATTTGTATTTGCCTTGACTTGCCAAAGGGTGATTATTATTATTTTTTTCTTTGTTGACTTTGTCTCGTGCTTTGTTTGGTTGCGAACCTTTTTTATTTTTGGTTTGACGGCATTTTTAGCCCATGGACCCATTCCCCCCCTTTACAGATTTTTAACCGCTGCAGGAAAGTTTTGCAATAAACATAACTTCGGGCGTGTTTGGCAGATTTTTCATTCATTTATTTTTTGAACAGAGAATCCATTTTGTGCTACAAAAAAAAAAGAGCAAAGGCGTTTTCACTTGTGGAGTCATGACTGAATTTGCATGAGAGCATTTTATGACCTCTTGCCTTTACTGAAAGATGGATGGGAAAATATGGACCTTCCCATTTTTTTCTATTTGGGAAAATTGAGTGTTTATAACTTTGTATCATCAAATTTGAAAGGAAAGTGGGTAGATTTGTAATTTGTTATCAAGTTTCCTGCTGAAGGTAAGACATTTCTGGTTTTTGAATTTCTTTTGGACCTATAGAATGTTTGCTACTTTGAATAAATGAGATGCAGCTTAAAGATGGCTGACTGACTAGAGTTTAACGCTCTGTGATGTCTTAAAAGTGTCTGAAATGCTCTGTGGTTGAAGGTGAGCTCTCTATGCTGACAGAAATGGTGGCTGTTTTGCCAGAGTAAGGATCAACAGAAGAGACATGAATATTCTCATAGTTGCATTTTTAGTAGAGAAAAAAATCAAGACACAATTCTGCAGAAAATGTGCAATCAAACCTGTGAATCAACTGAACAAGACTCAGGTAAATTACAATGAAACCCTATTTTTTTTGATTTCAAGTGCTGCCACATAGTTGTAAAACCAAGTGGGAAACACATTCTCATTTAAAGATAAAAATTATAATGAAGGTAAGTGTATCTTATAAGCCACTGCAAAAAGTTGTTCAGGATTATAAAAATTTTCAGTGTCAACTTTCAGGGAAATACAATTCATTATCTGTACCAGAAAATTTTCATTGAGACAATTTAATCTTCAAGCTTTCCTTCCAAACTGAAAATTTCAGGAATGTTTTTTGAAAGCGTTTCTTGTCTGCTGGAAAAAAAGTAATATTGTGCATCAATTATTTTATTGTATCTCTAAATGAAATGATCTGTGTTGAAAAACATGTACGGGCCTAAATGTTTGTAAAATTCAACTTATGTCAATACTGAGGTGAAACCCTTCCCATGCCATCAATTTTCAAAACATGTTCAAGTATTACAAGTGTTTGTTCTTCAAATAAAATCTGAGCTGCTGTAGGAAATTCAGCTGCCAGCACATTGTTTTTATTAATATTGGCAATTTTTTATGATGCCCCTTTTATTTGCTGCTATTTTATGAAATGTTTCAAAATACTGTGCAGCATATTTAGTAATACATTTGTCATTTAACTTTGCCTATCAATCAAGAATTTCCTCTATCAAGAAACTGTTGGAATTTCTGTGCAGTAAGCAATACCCCAACATGCAGATGATTTGACATAGGGACATTTATTTTCCAAAAAAAGTCATAAAAAGGCCAAATGTGTGAACACTGACTCAACATGTTGACATTTCATGACAAATTGCAAATAAGTTTCAGGACAAGTGACTTTTATCAGACTGAATTGCAAGAAACAGATATTTCCATACTTAAGATGTATGCAAGAAAATTCTTTGGCATATTTCTTTATCCCATCATTTTTCCATCCATTCAGCTAATTGGAAGAATATAACCTCCAGCAAAGAGGGACTTTCTTCTCTCTTTGTGACTTGAATGTTAGTTTTACAGGTGCCAAAATTTCAATGTACTGTGCAGAGGTACAGTATTCAATGCTCCAAATGTTCTTATTGAGTTGAAAGATATTGACTGAATCAATTTCAATTGGCAGCAGACAATTTTTTAAATGGAATTCTGATGAATATTTCTTCCATAAAATCTCAATTAAAAATTATATTATGTAAGTCTATGGGAAAATGAGACTTGACTTGGGGACATTTTGACTTGATGCACCAATTGCACCCACATCTTGGGGCCTCTATTTGTTTATACGAAATTTATCAGTCCAGGAATGGTTTGTAAAAGACTACTCACCTGAATGGTCACTTAACCAAGACACCAACTGTGAAAAAAATAAGTGTGCCTTGAAAAAAAAAAATTTGTACATCAAGGCCAAGAAATCATTCCATCATCTGCTCTAGTTTTTTTTTCTGTGTGAAGAGCGAGTTTGCTGAGTTATCCGTGGGAGAAAACCACTCCAAGACTCGAACATTATTCAGGGCTTATCTTTTTTTTTTTAATGTCCTATTCATTTTCTTACAGTCTTCATCATCACAGGATTGGGGGCAAAAGAAAAACGAAATATTTCCAGCAGTGTGTACAATGCCCTGAGGCGAGGATCCGTTGATGCGCTGTTGCAACTGCGCGCAGGTGTTTTTTATATTTATACGCATTTATTCATTCTTTCATTCACTTTTCTCTCTTTTTTTTTGAGGATTGCAAAAGCTTCGACATTATTCAGTTGTGAAACGCAATGGACGCGGACAGCAAGAATGAGATGCCCGGTGGTTCTTGCGAGGATACCGACTTGCTTTTGCTTACGCAAGTGCATGTGTTTGTGTTTTCTTCTTCTTCTTTTTTTTTTTTGTGAGCCCTACAGAAGCAAGTTTTCTTTCCTTTTGTTGCCCCGGAGTGATTATTATACGTTTATATGCATGCGTGTATTTTTATTTTATTTATTTTTTTAATTATATGGGAACACCTCGGGTTCCGGCTTCTATTGGGAATAACGCGTTGCGACTCGCATGTGGAATGCGGGGGGAGGGGCATATTTTGGGGTTTTCCAGAAAGTTTTTCCATTGTAGGCGAATTTTTGATTTATTTTGTTTTAGGTGTTTTGATAGAAGATACATTTTAAAGGGGCTATTCATGCATGAAAAGAATTTTTATTACATTGTCACATTTTTTTGAGACTGATATATTCTTTCTTTGTTTATTTTGAATAACTGATAGTTTGAAATTTTCTTGAAAGTGTCCTGCAGCAAAGGGTTAATCAAGGATTCGCATTGAAACGGAAAACCTTTGGTCACATTTGCTGTAAGAAGCTGAAATCTTGTTTCAAAAAAACTGTCCTACATGCTTTAAAAGAGCCAAGAAAAATTAGTTTTAACGCAAAAAATTTAATTCTGCAGGTACATTTAGACACTCTTAAGAATTTGCTGTTCTTCTCTTTAAACTTCAGTTTTTTAATGGAAATTTAGAAATGTTTCAAAAAAATAAAAATTCCAAAAAAGTTTTTTTCTCAAAATTAAAAGTTTTTTTCTCAAAATTCATCATATGCATTCGGATTATCTTGAGAATTTGTGACATTCTTTAAAAAAAAAATGTTTACTTATTACTTTTAACCTTCAGCTTTTTGTAATAAAATGGCAAAAGTTGACAAGAAAAATAAAATTTCTGGGAAGAAAATTGAATTATCACAGCATAAAAGTGAGAAAGTTTCTTCAGTGATGATGAAAATTTCTCCACAGCATCAGTTATTTATTAATTAAAACTATTGTTGTACAGTCAAACCCCGTTAAACCGCCACCCTCACCTCTGGCCATATTTTCACCCCAAACAAATCTCCCCAATGTTAAAAGGATGGGGAAACCTCCATAGACCGCCATCCGCCAACAATTTTCTGGCCACAAATAGGCACTTTCCCTTGTTTTTTTTACCCCTTTAAACTTCCACTTTGGAGAGAGATTCAATTTTAAAATATGAACAGAATGCAATTGCTGAAAAATCAAATACAAATGGATGCAATATTTGCTACAAAATTAAGCAAGAACACTAATAAAAATGCACAAGAATTCATATATTAATGTAAAGGTATTTTTCTTATATCCATCATGCTTTTTCTTAATTTTTTTGTCCTGCTGTAGTAGTTTTGTAGTACTACCACTACCCTCAATAGACCACTACCCTCAATAGACCGCCACCCTTGTTAAACTGCCAAAATCTTGCTGCACAAACGTTGGAGGTTTAACGGGGTTTGACTGTATTTTTAATCTGGAATTGATGAGAGGCACTTGGTGTTTAGCAGAAGACATTCAGCTTTTTTTCTGGCGTGTTTTGCTAGCTAAATTTACATGCACATACATGAAAAATTTTTTTTCAAATGTAAAGAAAAAGCCTCATCATACCAGTATTCAAGAAGATATTTGATTTTTCCATGCAGCAAAATATATGGTCAGATGCTTGTCAATTGCAAATATGTTTTGAACCGTTTTTGTCTTTGAAAATAAGTTGCTGCAAAAACTTATCAGATGTCATGATCTAAGATGTGAAACACTGCAGAACTTATCAGTTTATGATTTGTACTTGGAAAATTTGCATTTATCAGCATTTTAAAGCGTATAAATTGTCAAGAAAGGTTGAACATTTTTAGAACATTAAACTTTTTTGATACATTACGTATGGTTAAACGTTTTTAGATATCTGCTTCACACATTTTAGGTGCCTTCTTAATGCTACTGCTGTTAGTTGATTTCATTGCTGAGAATTCTTAAATTATCCTGCTACTGCATTATGAAAAGTTTGAAAACAAATTTAGGGTGCAATAATGCAACGCAACAATTCAATCAGAAGAATTTGAGGTTGGAACTGTTTAAGGGAAGTTTACTGTAAGAGCTAATTTTGAGGACTGATTATTGGGAGTGGAAGAGTGCTGCGTTTTTATAGGATTTAGCACAATTCTTCTGTCAGCTGACCTGATGGAAGCATTGGACTTTTTCCTTGCCTGTGATTGGCAGAAAAAATGTGAATCAAAGAAGTTGCCATCCCAGGAACAGATGCAGGAAGGAAAACGAGACAAGAATCCAGGTCCTGGGACCTGACGTCCCTGGGCCCGAGTTCTGGTTCCCCAACACCTGTTAACCACATCTATCCAGTTTCTGTCATGGCTCATGAGCATTTTGACTTAATGGAAAAAAAATATTTAAAGGAATTTAACGTGTTTTTCATGAAATGTCAAGCATATGAAGATCTCGATATTTCTAATGATGGAATGCATAAGGGAAGGACAACACATTGAGAAAACGTTTCCCTGCACAAAATTAAATGAAACCATTTCTTCACATGGTCTGATAGCATATTAGTGTACCAGTGGTGTTGGCAAACACAGTACAGTACGTGTGTTTTCTTTTCTTGCCGCTTTCCCACCTCAAGCTTTTTTTCCTTCTCTCCAATGCAAATATTGGATTGTTTTCTCCCTTTTACTCGACTATTCTACATTGTTTGTCCAAAATGTCCTTTTGTCGTATAAAGTTTAGACAAAAACCTTTCGAAAATTATACTTCGTAGGGTTGATGACCGATCCGAAGTTAACTAATAAAATTAAAATCACTGCTCTGTTATGTGGCCTGATTTATTTCACTCATTGGTTGACACATCAAGTTCTTTTCACTCACAAAAACTTGTACATGTATTACCTTACGTAAAAATAACCGTAATAAGGATGAAAAAGGGGTCCCAGTCTTTAGTACTTCGACTCCTTCTCGTCTTATCTCCTGACAAACACGAATCTCAGGAAAAACATGGGGAGAAAATGCAGGCCTTTGGATGGCCCTTCTTTGTGACCTCACTCAAGCAGGATGACCCTAAGTTGATTGAATACATCCGAAATACTGTTTTGATGCCACCTTCAAAACTACCTTATGCTCTAGCAAGTGGAGATAATGCCACTGTGTTCTCTCAATTTGGGAAAGTGGAAAGTGAGACTTTGCCATTGCTTTTTGGGAAGGATGTGAGTCTTTCTGGTTTGATTTTTTCTAACTTTTAAGATGTATTCATCATTTAAAATTAGATAGCCAAAAACAAGACCAATTTCAAGTAGTTTTGCATTGAAGATTTCACCCAGTACTTTTTATCAAAAGATTTTAAAGGGAATCTTTTTTTTTTTTTTAGATGAGAAATGGGACATTTTTCGAAGCTGGGGGTTTGGATGGAGAGTGGATGTCAACAACTTTGTACATGGAGAAGTTTTTAGGCTGGACTGGTTTACTTGCTGAAATGGTCCCAACTCATGCCAAAAAGCTGCTGACTAAGCACAGGAAAGCTTGGTTTGCTCCAGCATGTTTGTCTCCCCATTCTTGGCCAATTGTGGTGTGTTCAATGCATTGTGAAGTCATTCCTCTTACAGTGCTCCAAATTTGATAAAGTTCTCTGATTTCAGGCAAATTACAAAACACGATATGAGAAGGCCCTTGATGCAGGTGCTTCAGTTCTGAAGCAAGCATTCAATGATCAACCTTCTAATGTTCTTTCAAAGATCTCATTTGGCACTTCCCCTTGCTTTCCACTGTACTCACTACTAGTGGCCACCAATTTGACAAAAATTGATTTTTGCACTCTGGATGTTGAGGGAATTGAACTGCAGGTACTGAAAACTATTCCATGGGATAAAGTGGATATCAAAGTGAGTTATTTCAGACATTTATTTGAAAAGTGCATCTTTGAAATATTTTTTTCATTTTCAGGTCATTTTGCTGGATCTTTTGCACACTGCTGAAGGAGAGCAAGCACTTGATGAATACATGAATGCTGTTCATTACAGGAAAATTAGAAAGAAAGAGACTAAGAGGGGTTACACTTATGTTCGGAAAGATTGGGCTGCTGAAAAGAATTTGAGTGTTTGACTCACTAAAACTCATAGCCTCTAATGTACACCTTTTTGTGATGATAAAGATTGAGTTTGTTTAGCCCAACTACGCTGTTTTTCATTGGACTACAAAAAAAGGGTTCATGATTCTCAAAAAGCGCCATCTTTTGAAAATTTGGTTATCACATAGTATTTTCACTGCTCACTTGGAGTCAACTAAAATTCACTCACATTTTATGATTTCCAGTGAGGAATTTGACCAAAAAATGCATGCATGAAATTGCCATGTACATTCCTATGTTGGCTGAATTTTTAAAAAACAAATTTTACCCAAAGGCAGTATTTCCAAAACATTGAACTTTTCAGATAAATTTTACTATTAAATTTTCTGAGAATTACTTGAGTTTTTACTTGGTTCGTTTTGCCAGGATGCCAATGATGGTCGAGAAAACAATTTAAATTTTGACAGAGATAGAGTTCACCGTTCCAGTTCCATGCGTCCTTGATGACAAAATATATATATTCAAAAATTCCCTTTTTAATGATGAGCTTCGGGTAAAACATCATTATTTTTAAAATTAAAATTGACTCTTAAAACACAAATTTACATGGTCCACTTTTAATTTGCGTAAGGAATTATCCTTGAAGGCTATCATGACATTTTCAGCAGTGCATTTTATTTTTTAACTATTACTGTATATATGCTATATTCATAAAATATTTAAAAATATCGTATTTCTTATTTGAATATTTTAAAATGCTATGTATATATTTAATTCTTTTTAATTTCAATATTTTATTATTTTTATTCCTTATTTTTATTTTTTATTTTTTTTATATTTTATTCGAATTTTGAACTTTATTTTGTATTTTTGATTACTTATTTTTATGCATTCTTGATGTATTCTTAATATTTTTTATGAAATATTTTAAATAGTTTTTTAAACATTTTAAATAATTTTTTAAAAATTTCAAGTATTTTTTATAAAAGATTGTAAATTATTTATTCTTATGAAATATTTTAAATAATTTTTTTTAAATTTGAAATAATTTCTGATAAAATATTTCAAATAATTGCTCACAAAATATTTTATATAATTTTTATTGAATATTTTTATGAATATTTTGAAATTTTGACAAATATTTTCGTCTGGACTTTATTCTGATGTGTAAAAGGATCCATGTTTTGACACTTTCGAGTTCCCACAAGTATTCTAGACTGGAGGACATAACGTTTACATGGGGGAGTCCAGGTCAACTATTACCCTGTTTTTTGAGATAGCAGCCATGTTTCATTTCCGCCATTCGTTATCTCAAACGTATACCTGTTTTTCGAGGATTCGAGAGTCGGTGGTGATGGTACTTATGTGCTTCAGTTCCGCACATGGATTCGATTTTCGAAATGTTATTTTGAAAATCTGTGGGCTATACATATAATTTATATATATATATACATATATATACAGTATCTTAATGGAAAACGACGAAGAAAACCAAGAGTTGTCTGAAAGTGATAGGAATGTGTCAGTGGATGAAGGGAAACGTATTTTCGGGTCACCATCAGCATTATTACCGGGGCCTCCTGAAACCAGACCCAGTAATAATGCGACCCATGATGTGACCCCTCCGGCTAAGCCACCCAGAAAGCAATCGAAACCCCTCGACCCAAGACTGTGTCGTCAGTTTGCTCTGTCTTGTGCAAGGAACCACGTGGAAGACATCTTGGAAGCCTTGTCTGAATGTCCAAAGCTGGTGGCCTGGAAAGACCCAATGACAGGTCAGGTTCCTTCGTCTGGGGATGATGAGAATAACGCTGTGTCAAATCATAGTACTGTATCATCCTTCAGTGAATTTTTTAGTAAGTGCAATAATGGGTCCTCATCATACTGTGCAAAATGAAAATGAAAAAATATTTTAAAGATGCACTTTTCAAATAGATGTCTAAAAATAACTCACTTTGATATCCACTTTATCCCATGGAATAGTTTTCAGTACCTGCAGTTCAATTCCCTCAACATCCAGAGTGCAAAAATCAATTTTTGTCAAATTGGTGGCCACTAGTAGTGAGTACAGTGGAAAGCAAGGGGAAGTGCCAAATGAGATCTTTGAAAGAACATTAGAAGGTTGATCATTGAATGCTTGCTTCAGAACTGAAGCACCTGCATCAAGGGCCTTCTCATATCGTGTTTTGTAATTTGCCTGAAATCAGAGAACTTTATCAAATTTGGAGCACTGTAAGAGGAATGACTTCACAATGCATTGAACACACCACAATTGGCCAAGAATGGGGAGACAAACATGCTGGAGCAAACCAAGCTTTCCTGTGCTTAGTCAGCAGCTTTTTGGCATGAGTTGGGACCATTTCAGCAAGTAAACCAGTCCAGCCTAAAAACTTCTCCATGTACAAAGAGAATGGGGAGACAAACATGCTGGAGCAAACCAAGCTTTCCTGTGCTTAGTCAGCAGCTTTTTGGCATGAGTCGGGACCATTTCAGCAATTAAACCAGTCCAGCCTAAAAACTCTCCATGTACAAAGATGTTGACATCCACTCTCCATCCAAACCCCCAGCTTCGAAAAATGTCCCATTTCTCATCTAAAAAAAGAAAGATTCCCTTTAAAATCTTTTGATAAAATGTACTGGGTGAAATCTTCAATGCAAAACTACTTGAAATTGGTCTTGTTTTTGGCTATTTAAGTTATAATGATAAATACATCTTAAAAGTTAGAAAAAATCAAACCAGAAGACTCACATCCTTCCCAAAAAGCAATGGCAATAAGTCTCACTTTCCACTTTCCCAAATTGAGAGAACACAGTGGCATTATCTCCACTTGCTAGAGCATAAGGTAGTTTTGAAGGTGGCATCAAAACAGTATTTTTGATGTAATCAATCAACTCAGGGTCATCCTGCTTGAGTGAGGTCACAAAGAAGGGCCATTCAAAGGGCTTCATTTTCTCCCCATGTTTTTCCTGAGGAAGCACAAACAGTCCTCTATTCTGCTCTTCCTCAGCTTCATGATTTCTGAAACTGGGGAAAAAGTAAGAATAATACCAATAAAAATGCATTCCTTTATTTACATGTTCAAAAACACTCACTTTTCTTCTTGATGTGTCAACCAATGAGTGAAATAAATCAGCCCAAATAACAGAGCAGTGATTTTAATTTTATTAGAATTGAAGCCTAGCCAGTAGTTGGAATGCTTCATATTAAAGGCTTTCGAAAAAAAAAGATTTGAAATTTGCACTTTTCCTGTAAAAACTGTTTGTGACATCTTATCAGCTCATTTTTCCCTCCTTGTGACCAATAGCATTGGAGAGAAGGAAAACAAAAGCTTGCGGTTCGTTAACGGCAAGAAAAGAAAACACGCGTACTGTATTTGCCAACACCAGTGGTACACTAATACACTATTAGACCACGCAAAGAAATGGTTTCATTTAATTTTGTGCAGGAAAACTTTTTCTCAATGTGTTGTCCTTCCCTTGTGAATTTCATCACTAGAAATATCGAGATCTTCAAATGCTTGACATTTCATGAAAACCGTGTGAAATTCCTTTAAATATTTTTTTTTTCATCAAGTCAAAATTCTCGTCAGCCATGACTGAAACTGAATAGATGTGGTTCACAGGCGAGATATAATTTAGAAATGATGCTTAAAGAAAGACCCAATTCTGTGTGTTTCACAAGACTCGAATGATGAGTTCCTAACGGAAATCTGGTCGTGTGAATAAATTTTATTCGCAAAAATTTCATGGCGTGAAAATATTGATTTCCTTCAGGAAATATCTTATGCTTTGGATCTTGATTTCCTTCAGAAATCTGATCATACAACGTTGTTTTCCTCCAGGGAAATCTAATGATTAAATGTGGATTTCCTCCAGGGAAATTAATGATTAAAAGTGGATTTCCTCCAGGAAAATTTCATGCTTTTGAACCTTGATTTCTTTCAGAAATCTGATTATTTGAATGTGGATTTCCTTCAGAAAACTTATGATGCGATTCTCATCGTTTGATACATGATCGTGTCATTCTGTTTGACACAGAAAATGATGGGGGGGGGGGGGAACAGAAATATATTCGAAGAACATTTCCATTTAATAATATAAATTAAATAATGACATCATAGAACATCAGAAAATTCCAGCAATGCAGAAGACAAGCTCTAAACAAAAATAACATATTAACAATGGTTATAAACTGCAATGGTTATAAATCAAGACAGTTATAATGTAATCAATCAACTCCAAACCAACCTCTATTCTGCTCTTCCTTAGCTTCATGATTTCTGACCCAGGAAACAAATTTCACAAATAAGGACAATAAAATGCCTTCCATTGTCTATATTTTGGATAACACTCATTTTTTCTTTGATGTGACAAACAGTCAGTGAAATATATGTACAAAATGTTCATATATATTGTGACAGAAGCACTGGATATGTCGCAAAGGCCAAAGAAAAACATGTTAAGGAATTGCGAAAGACATAATCTGTCAAGGAACATTGTAATATCTTGTTCTTTATGCAAGACTTGAAATTAGATTTTGTCACAGAAATCTGCGTGCGGGCCGCCAAATTATTAATTTCTTTGAAGACAATTTCAATCTTCTTTGAGTGATCTCTCGATTTTATTCTTCATTTCTTTTCAAAATCTCATGATTTGAATGTGGATTCCTTTCAAAAATCATCTGACCTTCATAGGATGATGCATGATCAGATACGCTCTCATTCTCTTTAACACAGAATATGGATGGGGAAAAGGCAGAAGAAAGTAAGATTCAAAATATGGGATGGAAATCAATAATTCTGGAAGAAATATGCAACATTCAATTTTTGCCAAGAAAATTTCTTCATACCGAATTAGACAATTTTTTATGTGTTTCAATGATTGGGAGTAAACAGTTTGTTATTCAAAATGTATAGCTTGTAGCTTGTATGCAGTCTTGCATTATTAGAAACCACTGTATAAAATAAAGTACTGTATATTAATACTGTACAGCTTTCTGGAATTAAGACAAGATTTTAGTGATGATTATGATTTGAATCAAGTGCATCATCCCACTTTTATGTCAAATATACATCAACGGTGATTTGTTTCAGATAGTTGAACAGTCAGATTCTTCCTGAGGCCCCATCTTTTCTTTGACAAGGGAAATATTCCTTACATCCTGCAAATTTGGGACATATCTTATGCTGTTGCGAATATTTCAACGGCTATATTAAATTCGATACGCTAGCTTTAGAGAACCCAGAACTCCCCAGCAATTTTAGTCTTTCATTCTATCATTGTGGGAATCTTGGAAGACCTTGGTTCCCACAGATGTTTGACAGCCTCCAAGGCTGTATTTTATTACCAAGTTCCTGTTGCTGTTTTTTGTCCTTGAAGGACAGTTTTCCTGATTTCCAAACTTGACCATTTTATTACAGTCCAAATCAAACTTTTGTGTGAGAACATTCTCCAAGATTTTGCAAATTTCTGTTGTGATACCAAAGTATACCAACCTTAAAATAGGGTGTTTTGCACCCCGATCGTAGCCCGGCCAAATTATTGTGTTTTATTTTCAACTTATTTTCCAAGCTTCCAATTCAAAATTCAAACCTCTTCCTTGTTGGGATTTATTCCCAACATATGCCCCAAATTTACAAGAGTTATTTATTCCTGCTAATTTGGGAAATTATTTGAAATATTTTTAATATCATATGACCTTGCTGCTCTATAGGTTACTGTGCCATCCATTGGGCAGCCAGGAAGGGAAATGTGGACTTACTGTCATCATACCAGGAGGTCCTGGGGTTTGATGTGAATGCCAGGACGAACAGTGGATTTGTTGCTCTACATATTGCTGCTCAATTTGGGAATATGGAGTTTTATGAGTTCCTTTTGACAAAGTTGAAGGCCAATCCAACATTCAGGGATTACAGTGGCAAAAAACCTCACCAGTATCTGTAAGTATACTCCCACTTGAGGGGAAACAATTTATGATTCATTATTTCATGTTCAATGTTTGTTTCAGTCACTCAGTACATATTGACAAGACCTTAAAAAAGCTGTCTAATGAACTTCAATTCAAGAGTTTTCTTATACGGGGATGACTCATGACATACAGGAAAGATTAATTTTGAAAAATCCCTTTGGCTTTTTTTTGTTCATAGTGAAGATAAGGGATTGTACTCAGGAGAATGCTTGTGGATTGAGCAAACATGGCTGAGAGTTAGCTCACCATCCCAGTAAAATTCACCCTTCATATAAAAGATAACGTTTTCCTTAAACATGTACCAAATACTGTAGCATAATTTGTGATCCACTTTTAGCAGTGAATTCACTCTGTTTTCAACTTTTGGCATGAAACATTTGCATAAAATATAAGGGTAAATATGGAATTGCTGATGAGCATCCCATTTCTTACACTGGTGGGCTTGCTCTACAACAAAATTCAGGGGACCAGAAAAAATGTTTTGTAGTAAGATTTTTTGCACTGAGAATCCCTATAACATGGGGAGAGAACCCTATCTCTGGTTTTTATTTAAGAAATTTCTCTCTTTTAACAACATCCGTTCTAGTAACATCTCCCTCAAGTGGACATTTTTGAATGGTGACATGGATATAAAAATGCAAAATATTATAAAAGGAAAGAAAACTTACATAGACCTCCCAAAGAAGACCAATTTGTACAAACAGCACCAATGGTCAACAAGAAGCAGGAGCATCAAAAAAGCTATGATTTTCTGCATTTTGGGACCTTGACTAGAATCAGGAAGACTACATCAGCACAGAAGTCAGGGGCACCAGAAGGCCACAGCAGTTACATAGAGCAACCATTGAACATTGGTTCATCAGCAATGGGCTTTCGCAGTTTACAAAGAAACATGGATATGAACAGATTAGCTCATGGAAATCCAAAAGATGACTTGAGGTACAAGGAGTGTTGACTCAGAGGTAGAGTGCGCTCATATTTTCGCATTGAAATATGTCAGGCTTTCCCACACTGTACATTATTTGAACTGCATCATTGTTAGTTGGTCTTTATGACTGTGTGGATGAAGTATTTTAAAAATTCCTTGAATGAACATTTTTAATGAATGGCTTGAATTCTTGAGCAAAGGAAAATACAATCAACCCTTGATTTAGTGACATCAGGGGTATTTTATAAATGAGATCAATGTAATGAATATTTGTCAAGTAAGATTAAGAGTATTTTAGCAGGTACAAGGTGAGGGTTGGTAAATGCCATGCATTCAAGGTACCTTAAAATGGATCAGTTTGGGTGCTTAAGCTTTGGAATCAGAAAGCAGAATCACCAAAATCTCACCAAGAACAATCCAATTCTTTAACCTAGGCCAAAATTTTTTTCATGCAGGCCTTTATGAAAACACAGCAGCTGCTTTGCACAGCAGATCTTGACCAATCTTGCAGGCCATTCTGCAGAGTTCTACTCCACATGTGGGTCCTGCATAATGAAACTAATAAAGTAAAAGCTTGGCACATCAACAAATTTGGGACTAAGAAATTGTTATTCAATTGAAGCTTATCTTGAATCCCTCTCTGCGTCAAATATCTCCTTATGTCAATTTATTTATGGTCCCTGTCAGAATTCCTTCAGAAACAATGTATTGTATTAAAAGCCTCTTCAACTAAAAGGCTTTCCCCCCTCAAAACTCTAAGTTAAAATTTCTGGAGGTGCTCTGTTTATTTTTGTTAGCCAAGAAAAAATAAAACAATAAAAATCTAACTTGATTTTTGAAAGGAAGTGGAAGAATAATAAGGCAAATCATTGACTCAAAGCTCAGCATCCTGTCAACTTCTTTACAAAGTACTGTAGTTTTGGGACAAAAGGTCACAAATTTCAACTTGTTTTAATAAATCTTCTTTTCAATGCCAAAATGGTGTTTGCTTGAAACCTCCCAAGTTCAAATTTGTTTGCTGGTTCTTGCAAACTTTACTTGAGGGGTTTCAACTTTACAAAAATTCAAGGCAACAAAATTCCACTGCATATCTATCTGTAATAGGGTAAAGCTTCAATAATTATAATTATATTGGGATAAAATGTTTTTGAGCAAAAAAAAAAGTCCTTTTACACTCAGGTTATTTGAAGTTTTTGGTGACGCAAGTTCTCATTGCCAGAGAATCATAATAAATCCATTTGTGAAGACTTCAAGTTCATCTTCATCCATTCCATTCGGGGAAACCAGAGAAGAAAAACTTTTCAACCAAACTCACCTTCGGAAAACATGTCCGTTTTAATGGACAATGAAAAAATTAGATAAATTTTCCACACGTGATTCCAACAACTTCATTCTCCCCGTATTTTTCCATCAACAGTACAAAAAACCACTTTCTCAAGGAAAAAAAAAATTCAACTATTTCCATCAAAGACGTTTACAGCTAGCGTGAAGCGACGCATCACAGCCTTTCCACAGCCGCCTCAAACTGGCGACATTAGCTCAACAATCCGTACTCGAAAAAATAAAATAAAATAAAACAGTTGCAAGCATTTCTACAAATCAATGTTGCAAACCTAGCATTAATTAAATTCGAAGACAAAAAAGACAGAAAAGGTTTTTTGCAATGGAATCGAGAGACAAACCTTTCGCAGCCGTTACACTTCAACGGGTACTCCGAGGTAATCGTACTTCTGGATCGTTACCTGGTAACTATTGCACATTTTGAGTTTAAATTTTGTAAAACAAAACAAAAAAATACAAGGGTTGTTCCATTTCCGCGGTTCAGATCGGCTTACGAAATTTCGGCAGAATGAAACGAATTCCTTTCGAAACAGCCGAATTTTTCCAACGTTAAATAATGTGCAGGAAAACGGATAAAAATCAAAAGACATTAGGACAAATTTTATGCGTAACTTCAACTATTTCCAAATTCAAAACATAAACCCCTGAAGTGTTACAAAAATTTTCCAGTGTCGAACATTTCTTTACTTCTGAAGCGTTCTTTTAGGAGACTACACGGCAAGTGTTTCAAATACCGCGTGGTTCAATTTCGAGAATCCAGCTGTCAAGGTTTTAAATTGACTTTTATTTAAAAGATAATTTTTTGAATGCTCATTCGTCTTTACATTCTCAAACATAACCTGCCTCATTTTTTCCTATCAGCTCTCAAAAAAATATATCTATAATCATCGCAACAACGAGAATAATCTAGAACTTCTGAAGAATTGCCGACACGAAAATGGAACAATCCCCGTACTTTTGAGTACAGTAGAACTCCAATTATCCCAAGCATTTCCACCCTTTAAATTAAATATTTATTAATTTTTCCACTAGTATACAAATAGTTCCGACATCCACGTGAATGATCCAACTGTTTTTAAAATAAGGCGTGAAAAATTATTGTACCTTTTCGATAGTTCCCATGATAATTTGAATGATTTTGCTCATCTTCCTGTTCCTGAGCTCATTAAAAATTAATTTCTGAACGGAACAAGTATGCATTTTTTCATCATAAAAATTGAGGTGCGTGCCAATTTTTATCTGCCGAAATTTCGTTTCAGAAACCGTCTTGAACAAGTGTACGGTATTTAAATTATCGATGATGACTGCTTACACTGATAATCCCTTGCCAGTGAATTTCTCGCACAATTGACTATCTCGGTTAGTGAAACTCGCTTCGGATTGAATTAACAATAGCAAAAAGCGATCTTCCTTCAATTTGAATTTGTAAGGAATCTCTACGAAAAATGAAAGCTTATTTCGGTCGACGATGTTGATCAACTTTTTAAAAATCTTCTCTTTAAATAAAATTTCATGTTACCTCATATTGAGCATATATTTATTCATAGAAATTCATTAAGGAAAATTTAAAGGTATCCAGATTCGCTCAGTGATTGTTAATAGCATCCTATCTTTCTAGTTGAAGCTCTTCTTTGAAGTTTTAAAAAACGAGGAAACTCTGTATAACTCGGCCTTAATCCATCATCAAAACTTGTACATCACACACCAATAAGTTTTCTTTAAACGATAATCGGAGTTCTCCTGTGCTTTTTTAAACATCGTTTGCAACAATCCCTTTAAAACTCGCTTCGCTTCCCGCCTTCGAAAAAGAGACAATGAATTCGCTTGTTGTGTACACTAGATAAGAGTGGAGAGGGATAAGAAAGGGAAAAAAACAAACGGCCGAAGACACTAGCAAAGCTCGGACGGACTCGACACAGCTGGCTCGGGTGACACTGCAGAGTAAACGCGTCGATTCCCCCTGTTCATCGCCGACACCAGGAAGGATACCAGGTCGTAGTTGCCCGAAAACGTCGCCAAGTGCAACGGCGACCAACCGTCCCGATTAGCTAGCCAAACATCCGCTCCGTATCGCACCAACAACTTCACCACATCCAGGTTGCCCAGCAAACAGCCCGCATGCAACGGGGTTTGCCCGTGATGGTCCAACGAGTTGACAGCGACGAAGGCGACACCTCGGTGAGCGAACCCGGGTTTCCCAGCGTTTTGTAACCGGAGTAACACGGCGGCGACGTCAGCGACATCTCCGCGCCGGACAGCGTCAAAAAGCAAGCTTTTATTACTCGCTGCGTCGACAGAGGACGCTTCCGGCGGGGCAGGCACCGAAGGGTCGTCAAAAAGCAAAACGGCGTCGCTCGTGTCTGAGTTGACGGACGGCGTCGGAGACGGACGACGGTTCGGATCGTGTCGCCGGAGATTCCGACGCTGACGTAACCGGTCGCGGCGGCAGTGCGGAGTGAAAACAGAGTCCTCGCTGGTGGTTGAGTTGCAAGGCGACGGAGTGGCGGCGATGGACGACGCCGGCGATGAGCACGCACTGTCGCACGGACTGATGGGCAGTTCGTCGTGGCGGCTGTCGGTCTCCGAACGCGGCTCGTCCCGTTCTTCTCCCATTCTGTCAATCACAAATTTAAGAAAAGAACACTTATTAATCACTCTTATTCTAGTGAACTTCTACTTCTAAACTTTTACGACAAATTCGAAAAAAAAAACCCCAAATTTTAGGTTAATGCAACTCAAATATCATCAATGAATGAATTTGATGCCACACAATTTAGAAAGAGTAATGTTTCCAATTTTTCTGGAAACGGCGGAAAAATGTCCGTAATCTAAATTGGGGTAGCTTTTCTTTACAGTTTCAATTGTCCCTAAGTCGGATCGCCCGTAAATCGTTGTCCCGCGGATCAGAAAAGCCGTACTCACATTTTCACTAGCTTCAAAAACAGTGGGTGAAAACGAAAAGCACCTTCCAGAAAGACGAAAAGCGCGATTTCAAAAAAATAACGCGCTTGCACTTGGAAAATCTTGAAAGTGCTGACTGGCCAACACCGGGTCTGTCCAACATAGGAACACGGCACAAGCACATGCACAGTGCATCATCAGACTTCTGAAACTACAAATGTTTCCCGAAATTCAGACTCACGTTACATACAGGACTTATTTATTTCTTGTAATGCAAGTCGCTAGAACTCATAATGAAACGTCATGTAATGTTTGGGTTAGTATAATGTAGAGACAGGGTGTGAAAAGAAAAGATTACCGCATATTAAATCTTACTGCCAAAACAAATAAGATTTTGATGCTTCCACTGATCATAAAATATCACGTTTGCTCAACACAAAAAAAGAGGGAACACCCGCATAAATGAATCTAGAATCGTCAAAGAACATTGATTGATTTAATATAACGAATAAAAAGATTTAAAAGCGAGATTCAGTACAGAATTATTAAACTTTACCAGATTTGAATAATACAGTACCAATGATACACAGCATTTCAAATAATACGAAGATTTCGCAGTGGAAAACCGACCATTTCATTGTTTCGTTGGGAATGTAGTTCGGTGATCGTTACTAAGAATAGTTCTTCGGTGTGACTTGAACTATAAAATACTCAGGGGGCCAAAAGATTACGGTACTTTTCATTTTCGCACAGGATCCGAACAGGCATAAATTAATAACAGGTCTGCCAACACCATAAAAATGGCATCGTCAAAAAATTAGGAAATTGAATAAGAGTGATTTTTACACGCGCAAGTCGCAATGTTGGGGATCCATGGTATTAAAGGGTAGACAGACTTGCGCACTACTGAAATCATAATCCGAAGTCTCTGAGACCGGGTCTTCAATGACGGTAAACTTGTGCAACACAGCAGAGGGCAAATTCCTCTGAAACCTAAAAGCTTCAATTCATGGATATTCACTCACTTCTACACAATTCGTTTCAATATTTTACCCAGGCAAAAAGCGAGTCAGGAAAAAAAAAGACTTCAGAGTTTCAAAGAGTTGAAATTACAGAATTCAGTCATCAAGAAGAAAAAAATCCGAGGAAATGCTTCGGAAATTAGCCAAGAAATTGCAGAATCGCGTTAAGCGGGTTAAGGAAGTAGGCGTCAGTGAATCTGCTGTGTCGCCGCCAATGACCAAATCTGCTCAGCGCGTCTGAAAACAAAAAAAAACATTCTCATTAAAAAACTTATTAAATTGAAAATAAACCCCCCCTTTATTTTATTATCCACTCACTTGAAAGATTCCTTCGGCAACTTGAGAGCATGATACCAGAGCACCACGGCCAAAACAACCGAATAAGTCCTCAGAGGACCCAAGAAAAATGCGGTGACTCCGTAGCCGACTCCAAAGTAAATGGCGAACATGGTCATTATGCAAATCAGCACAAATATCGGCACGTTCGTCCGCAGGAACTTTTTCAGCGTCAATGGCTTCCCAGCGCACAGTTGCTCATACCTTCCATACGCGGAAAAAAATAAAGACATTTGATACAGAATGAAAAATCGTCCATACGTGGATAACGCGTGAGAATTCAACCAAGAAACAAATACCTGTATAAAAGATTAGAAAGAAGAAGCTCATTTTTTTGAAGGGAGACGACCGCAGAAAATCTGTTGCATCAAGAGACAGCCGGATCCTAAATTTCGAGTTTTTTGAAAACATCTAGATTCAAGCATCAACTGATTTTGTCCTTTGTTGTACTCGGTATAACATTACTGTACTGTATTACCATGCAGAAAACCTGTTCAATTGAAGTACAGTAAAATCCTATTACAAAAACTTTTATAGCATAAAAATAAGTTTCTCAAGTACAGTATTGGCAGAAAACCGACCAAATACAAGTTTGAAAAAATTTCATTATAAAGAACTTCCCAATTCAAGCATAACAAAATTTTTTGAGGTATGGTTAAGAGATTTTCCATGTAGAAATTTACTGACTAAGGCAGGCAAAATCTGAAATTTCAGATACCAAATGTGATTGACAAATTTTTCAAGCATAAATGGAAGCTGTAATCACAGAATGAAAAACATGCTTCCACGTGGTTCCATGCATCATCCTCCCAAAATGAAGAGATTTGTGCAATTCATGGACTGCATGATTGGAGCTAATCCCTCTTTCAAGAAGACACTCATTTTTTCAAACAATAGTAGAAAAAATGTGAGAATGCCAGAAAGGCAAAATGGGCTTGATTACAGACAGTCTAATGATGTGAACATTTTTTCCAGTCATGATTCTAAAAAATCTCGTTATATTAAAATATTTAGTTCAATAAACTTTTTCCGAAGTTCCCATGTTGCGATGACATTTTATTTCATTGTACATACAGTATTCTAGAGAAAAATCGTCTCACCTCTGATGAGTGATGCCGGACAAGACAAAGACGAGCGGAATCTGGTACAAGACCATCTGGAGGAACCCGTACCCATAAGTCAGGGCACCGGCTGGAATGTATCTGCCGGATATTACACTTCCCCAGGCGAAAGTCACCCCCGTGTACCCATCAATTATTTCTCCGGCGAACCACGGCCCGAACGTGAGATACAATGGGTACAGTACCAGGGGATAAAACAGCCTGTCGACCGTCGACAACAGCCATAACCTTCGCAAACCCATGAAGTACTTCCTCGTCAGCACCAAAGTCGCCGGCAATTTCCCACCTGCGTCGGAGGGGGGAATAGAAGAGACAATGGTGAGAAAAGCGGCGGGTTTCTTCTTTTACAAATCCGAACAAATAAATCACATTAATTTCATAAGAAGATATTATTTAATTTAGGGGGTACTTAACTTTTCACAAAAGGGTTCCCCAGACGAAATCGTCTATAAATTCCAGTACATCCGATTCATTAACTTTTAAGAGCGACTCTCGTCGTGTTTCCCAGAAAATGAACACAGATCCTGGATTATTTATCGTCAGAGAGGTTTATGTATAGAATAAACACGAAGACCGTGGTCTTATTCAAAGCGATAAAATCAACGAGTATTGTGGCAGTTGAACTGAACTGTCCTTCGAGCAAGAATTCAGCTTATCGACACGTAAATTTTGCAGCTTTTAAAATGTAAGACAGCTTTTAGTCCATTTTAACACTGTTTAAGAAGATGAATAAAAAGGAATGCAACTAATATTTGAGAAAGATATATAACATATATAGATATATAACATAACATATATAGATATATAACATAACATATACAGATATATAACATAACATATATAGATATATATATATATATAGATATATAACATTTATAGATATATAAAGATATATAGATATATATTTGAGCTAGTCATATAACACGCATTTAATTCATCAGTTATTTCTTAATAATTTACCCTAAAACTGCAGAGTTTGAAATTTAGATTTCATCATTTCGAGTAGGTAAAACGTTGCCTGAAAATTTCAACGGAGATAGTTTCTCCACTGATTTCATGGGAAAAGAGGAAAAAAGTGTAAGAAAGTCTTCCACTTACGGATGATGTACCAGTGGATGAGCCTCAGCAAGCACAGCGGGAACACGGCAAGGAAAATGCAGAATCCGAACATTGACTGAGCCTGTATTTCAACAAATCCAAAATTTGGACTTCAATAACTATTTCTAGAAGATTTAATATTCTACCAGATCGTTTAACGATTAGAAGTAGTTCGGTGCTGCGATTAATGAAAAACATATGCAAGGAATATTAATGAATTTTTAGTTTTTGGTCGAAGAAGTTCATGACCAAAAGTTCGCTTCTCCTCAACTCAAGCTTATTAAAACTTCAGCTACACTTGAACTAAACTATACAACTTGAATTAATCCGTGTAGCTTCTGAACTCCAAAACTAAGGCTTGATTAAAATTTAACTGAAAAGCAACCTAAAGCTTCATTTTGTAGAAAACAGCCTCATTTACATAAAAAAATTTGCAAGGTTGTAAAGCTGCATTTTAACTTCAGATAAATTTCATATACATTTGATCCAGATTCCGTTTCAAGTTTACTGGGACTAGACGTAGACTTAATTTTAGAGTAGGATGAGCATTTAGTTCATGTAAGTTTCACGATGAAAAACAAACGTAAACGTAAAAAAAACCAAGAAATTACGCCAAACTTTTGTTGTAAGAAATTATTTTAAAAAATCCAATCCATCACATTCCCGGTCAATGCAATAAAATGTCACTCTCAACTCGAAATCATCCCCTGAGGAAAAAAAATAAATGAATCCGGACTCACAAAAGAAGTCAAATTCGCTGTCAACACGATCCTCCCCATGGTATTCAAAGGCGCGACGGTTAGATCCAAAGAGAAGGGATATTCCACGACGGTTTTCCCTCCGCGATCGTCTTCAGCCTGGACATGAATTTCGTGCAACCCTCGGGCATATTTCCCCGGATGCCAGGCGAGGGTAAAC